TCTACTTAAAGCTAATCTCTGAGCTGGTGTGGTGGTGTACATTGACAATCCTAGTTACTTGGGAAGCTGAGGAAGGAGGATGGCAAGTTTGAGGTGAGACTCTGTAATTTAGGGAGACCCTGTTTCAAAATAACATTTTAAAAGGGGCTGAAGATATAGTTCAGTGATAGTGCACCCTTGGTTTAGATTCTCGGTGAAAAAAAAAAAAGTAAGCCAATCTTTGCATTTGAACTTTGATACCTATCCTCTTCCAGCTTTCTTTTCTTTCTTTCTTTTTTTTTTTTTAAAGAGAGAGTGAGAGAGAGAGAATTTTTAATATTTATTTTTTAGTTCTCGGCAGATACAACATCTTTGTTTGTATGTGGTGCTGAGGATCGAACCCGGGCCACCCGCATGCCAAGCGAGCGCGCTACCGCTTGAGCCACATCCCCAGCCCTCCAGCTTTCTTTTCTACCTTCTTTCTACACAGCAACTGTGCCTATCTTCTCTTGGTTACTTAGTGCTTATCAACTAAATCCTTCCTAATATCAGTTCAACATGCTTTAATCCCAACAAATTTAATGCAAAGAAAACAAAGCCACTTTAGAGGTATACTTCCTTTACTGCTTTGTCCTTTTTAATTTTAATTTCTTTTAGTCATTGATGGGCCTTTATTTATTTATTTGTATTGGTGCTAAAATTGAACCCAGGGCCTCACAGGTGCCAGGCAAGTGCCCTACCTCTAAGCCACTACCCCAGCCCCTGCTTTGTCCTTTTCTTCACCTATAAAATCACTTTTTTGCACTTACATCTCCATTTCTTCATCTATGCTTTCTTTTGGTCTCTGCTATCAGGAGCTCAAACAATTGTGGATAAGGTTAGAAAGCCTTCCACATTACTAAATCCAAGACACTATTTTCTTGTTCTCATCCACTTGGTGACCAAGTATTGATCTTGGTAAGGACTTGACACTGTGAATTCTCCCCCTTCTAGAAACACTGTGTTGGTGCCTTTTAATTTTCCTCTTTATCTCTCTTGCTCTTCAGGTTCATTTTCATCTGTAGAGCATTAACAGTTCAAACACTTCACATCTGGTTTCTCTGCTTTTCTTCTCTTCTCACTCTAAACTTGTTCCTAGGCAATCTCAACCAAATTAGCAACTGTACTTATATTCACAACTCTCAAATTAATACTTTGAGGTCAAAGTCCACTGGCTTAACAAAATTGGATTTAACACTTGTTTATATCTCTTATGTCTATATGAAACTATTCGACACAACTTTTCCTATCAAATAAACACAGATTTTCTTACTTAAATGTTTACTTTTACATAGTTCTGATAGGATTGTAGTTTTAGGAAAGCAACCTAACAGTTTACATTGAGAGCTTTAAAAAAATTGTCTTTTTTATGTTGGCCAAATTATATTGTTATATTATGTGCCGGTATGAATATGTATCAACAGATCTTGCCAATATGTACAATATACCAATAAAACGTATGGAAAATTTTCTTTTTTAGACATGAATTTTTGAAAGCTAACTTTGAAGTGAAAACATTGATGATATTAAATTTGGAAAAATGTAAATACTGATACACAAACTAGGCTTAATAGAAACATGTTTATTCCTAAACATATTTTCATACTTTCCACAATATCTGATTTTATGTTATGTTCCCACTATTTTATTTACTTATTTTTAATGTGGTACTGGGGATGGAACTCAGTGCTTCACATGTGCTAGGCAAGCGCTCTATCACTGAGACACAACCCTGGCCCCTTACTCACTCTTTTGTCTCACTGGCATCAACATTATCATTCAGTATAACTTTCTAACCTAAATTAATGTCAGGTTCTGGCTTAAGTGCTAGTTGTAAATATGTATGTTTGGAATTCTGCACAAAATTTATTTAAGATCAAGGATACAACTCTGTAGTCCCCTTATATATGGCAGTATGTGTGGAATATTCAATAAAGATTTTTTTTTTGTAAAACAAAATACGTAAATTTTACTTTTATTTTAAATTAACAGTTCACTAGAGCTGTATAGCATTTAAAATGTCCTATTTGTTCCTTTTCTTGCTATAGAATACTACTTATTACTACTACAATTTTATTTTTAAAAACCAGAACAATGCTTGCATGATTTAGCATTGAAATTCTTAAGATGAACTGGATGGACCCTGCAATACCTGCCCTCCTTCGGTTTAGATGATGTTTCTTAATGGAATCTACTCCTAAATCTGTGGTACACTGTACAATTTTTAGGTGCCTCATTCAACCAGTCCTGGTAGTATTTAATCTTTTAGCCTTGGCACTGCAGTTTTATTTCTTCTTCTGCTTGGCAGGTCAGGCACATTTATCATGAGTTGACTGAAGGTGGTAGACCATAGAACCTCAGTGGTGGCACAAACTGCTTGTCCTATTGCCATGTTTTCCAAATGATGTTTTTCTCTTTGGTATTGTGTCTGCCAACACTATAGCTTTTAAAACCAGGTGTTCCATAAATTATTAGTTTCATTTACAAAACTTGCTATTCTCTCTGTATATTCAGATATACATGTACTTTTATATCATTTTTATATTTAAGTTGTAAGCCTATTATATCCCTGAATGTACAGGGTATAGAGCATAGTACTTGGAACAGAAAATACATAATACATATTTGTTAGATGAATAATTATTCACTTTTTTGTATTTCTTATAGTCTCCTCAACTTTCTCTAGGTAAAGATTAAAGCTTTCCATTTGAACATTTGTGTTATTCCTGATTATAAAGTCCAAGGTTTCTTTCTATCAATTTAGGTTTCTAGTCCATTCAGRTTTATACTTTATGGACAATGGCTGCTGCTATTAAGAAAACCAAGGCATGAATAAATAACGTAGACTCTCCAATGTGTCTACAAGTTGTACTTTATTTATTTTGCTACTGGGAATTGAACCCAGGGACTCTTTACCACTGAGCTACATGCCTAGACCTTTTTATTTTTTGATTTGCTAAATTGGGAAGGCCTCACTAAATTACTGAGGTTGGTCTTAATCTTGTGATCCTCCTGCCTCAAGTCTCTGGAGTTGCTGGAATTACAGGGGTGTGCTACTGTGCCTGGCCAACTTGTATTTTATTTTGATAATCTGTCATGAAGGGCTAACACATTTTTTTTTCCTTGAAAGAGAAGTTTAAGAAAATAAGATCTGAGGAAAAAAAAAAAAGAGAGAAGAAGAGCTGGGTGCAGTGGCACCGGCCTATCCCAGCGACTCTGAAGACCAAGGCAGGAGGATGGCAAGTTCCAGGACTGCCTGGGCAACTTAAGGAGACTGGGTTTCAAAATCAAAATGTAAGGGCTGGGGTTGTAACTCAGTGGTAGAGCTCTTGCCTTGCATGAGGCCCTGGGTACTATTCCCAGCACCACATAAAAATAAATAAATAAATAAACAAATAAAAATAAAGATATTAAAAAAAATTAAAATGTAAAATGGCTGGTGAATGTAGCACAGCGGTAGAGGGTCCCTGGGTTCAAACCCCAGTACAAAAACAAAAATAAAACAAACAAAACCCCACAAAAGCAAAAACAACAAAACCCTATAGGATTTTGAAATCTTGCATGCTCAGGTTTATATAGCCAAAGTACAAAGTTTTTTTCCCAGTTGTTGGCTTTTGGGGCAGGGAATTTTCTGGGAAGTACTGAGCTTTCATTACCTAAAAGTAGTTCAGATGAGCAAGTCAAACTTCAGATGAAAATTTTCATTATCTAGAAAATAACTGACTAGAATGTAAAAAAAAAAAAAAGTCCTTACTAGTTTAAGATGAATACTGACTGAAAGGGTAACTGACATGATCACCCTTTACTTTAAAAGAAAATATTTGGCTGACAAATAAAAATTATTTTATATATATATATATAAAATAATTTATATATATATATAAAATAATTTATATATATATATATATATATATAAAATAATTTATATATATATATATAAATTTGGCTGGGAGCTATGACAAATGCCTATAATTCCAGCTACTTGGAAGGCTCAGGCAGGAGGATACACGTAAGCCTGGGTAATTTAGGCAGACCCAGTCTTAAAACAAAAAACTTGGTGTGGCAGCAGGGATGGATGAAGCATCTAAAAATGTTGATAATTTTTTAAAAAAATAATTTCTTGTAGTTGTAGATGAACAGCATACCTTTATTTTGTCTGTTTATAAGTGGTGCTAAGGATCAAATTCAGTGCCGCACACAGGCTAGCCATTGCTCTGCTACTGAGCTACAGCCCCAGCCCCTGATAATTTCTTTAGATCTGGAAGTTCACTGTATTCTTCTGTGTTTGAGCTTTTCCTTAATAATACTGCCCCCCCCCACCATGGTACTGGGGATTGAACCTCAGGCCTCCTGTATGCTAGGCAAACACTTTACCACTTAGCCATATCTTCATTCATGTTTTAAAGTTTTTTAAGATATTAGCTTTGTTCTATTTTTAACTCTAGGAATTCTATTTATCCTTATAGCCTTGACAAATACAGACATAGGAAAACTACACAACCCATCATTATTTTTTATTTGCAAATCTCTGCAAGTCCCCTGTGACTACACTGTCTCATTAGGGGAGGCTTCATCTTTGTAATATACATTCTCAGCATAAATATTTGATTTTTTAAAACAAAGAAAGTTGGCTTCCTAAACATCTCATGTGGTGGTACCAAACCTCTGATACTACCCCAGAATCTTTTTATAATCAAGAATCACAATTCTTTCCAGAAATAGTTTTTTCGCTCCTTACATCACACGTTTCGGAGATACAGTGAGAGGCGGCAGCAGACCTGCGCTTCAGGTCAGGGACCAATCCAGAGTTGGAAGGCCATCGCAGGGTTCTCTTTGGGACTCAGTTTCCCAAGCAAAAGACCAGTGGGGCGGTCTTCCCGCGTCCCGCTGCTCCTCCCGACCCGCGGGCTGCCCCGCCCTGAGGGCGGAGACCGGGCGGAGCGGCGCGTTCTCCTCCGCCTCTTTCCGACTCACCACTGCCCCTGGCGCCCGCGGCGCATGTGCCCAGCGCCCCCTCCCCGGCCCTGGATTCCACTTCCCCTCCGCTCGCGCTGCAGCGGCAGCTGCCTCCAGGCCCCGCGCCGCCTCCGGAGTCCATGGCCGGAACGCGCTGGGTACTCGGGGCGCTGCTCCGGGGCTGCGGCTGTAACTGCAGCAGCTGCCGGCGCACCGGCGCTGCCTGTTTGCCCTTTTATTCCGCCGCTGGCTCCTTCCCCTCGGGCGTTTCGGGCCGCCGCCGCCTGCTGCTGTTACTAGGGGCCGCTGCGGCCGCCGCCTCTCAGACGCGGGGCCTCCAGATCGGGCTTGCGCCCGCCGGGAGGCTGGCGGGCCCTCCACCTGCGGCCACCTCAGCGGCGGCCGTGGCCGCCGCCTCCTACCCTGCATTGCGCGCTCCTCTGCTACCGCAGTCGCTGGCGGCCGCCGCGGGCTCCGCGCGGAGCTACAGCCAGGTACGTGGACGCTGCGAGGGGCTGCGCACTGGACCCCTCTCCGGACGCGCGCACGCGTCCCCGCGCCTCTTCGCGTGCGCCTCGAGTGCGCGCCCGGGTATCCGCGGCAGGCGCCGCACACCCGCCCCCCTCCCGCTCCGTCCTCCTATTGGGCACGGGAACAAGGGACGCTCTCCCAGGCCTTGGGTTTTCTCCTTGTTTTGTTCTCCCCTCGAGTCTCTGGTCGGTTGGGCAGTGTAAGTGTGGCTGGGGTGAATGTTGAGGCCTTGTTTCCCGCCGGGCCCATGGTAGGTTTTGTGAGGCTGCTGATGCCCCCAACCCCGCATCCCTCTAGCTCTCCGCCCGCTGGTCGTGAAGTTGGGAGGCCGGACCCCGCGGAGGGTTGGGAGTTTCCGTGCAGCTGGAGCACTAGGCCCGGGCGGCCCTCGGCGCCTCACGGTAGCCACTGATACTAAGGTTCGCCACACAGCTGCGTGAGCTGGCTTGGGAAGGAGCCGCATCTCCAGCGCGCCCCTCTCTCTTGTTTCCCCTGGGAAAGGCGGGCTGCCCCAATTTACTGAAGGTCACCTCTGCAACTCCAGTTCCTTTGACAGAAGGTCCTTTAGGACTGTCGATTGCGGTCCACTGGGAGAACACTTGGATATTGGGGGAGGGGATGAGTGGGGTAGGAGCGTCTAGTGGGCTACGATTTGGGCCCCAGTTGGGAATATTTTCCATTACTTTTTTCCATTCTTATCTTTTAAAGTGTGTATTTGAAGAACCCAGATTGCAACTATTCTATGCATTGTATATGGAGCTTTTTCTTCTGCTTATTACGTGGTATCTGAGAAGTGCCAGCTCACTTTTTCACTACCTACCGCGCTAATGCTTTGGGTCATATTTATCATAATTCAGTTTGTGCTTCTCCTTGAATTTATGGAATTTGGGAGGCTGCTGTCTGCTCATGGCTGAGCTAATTGATTTGAATACTGGCCCAATACTTTATCCTGCTTTTTTTCTGTAAAATCTTATGATGCTTATGGAATTCTGGGAAAAGAGAAAAAAGTTGTCTTAAAAGAATCGCTTTGTGAGCTGGTTTCTTGTAAAATCTGTTGTGTGTTAGACATTTTGCCTACACTTATCATTGACGCCTTAAAATTGGACTTTAAGTGTTCATGAAAACCTGACTGGAACACAGATATCTGTCCCTAGCTTAGTAGATTGCAAGTCTTAAAGCTTGATTTACGTTCTCAATTTACGGCTGTAGTGCTTTGTTGGATTCTCTCTACATTCCAGTTTGGGCTCAGTGTTATAGTCTACTTTAGGTATTTCTCAGGCTCCTGTTACCTCACACTTCTGCTGTTGCCTTTTAAGATCTTTCCCTTATTCAATTGGTCCAACAGATTAATCTTTCCAAGGCCTCCTGCTGTCTTGTTGTTTTACCCACTCCTCAGTGTCTTTTTATTAACTTCCCTTTGCTAACCCAAGTGAAGGACACAGAGGCCTTCTGCTGTATAGTACCCAAGTTCCTTTTGCCAGCTCATCTTCTTTGGCTCTGTTTTTACCCTGCAAGACAAATGGGATTAATTGCTATTTTTCAAATGCACCTTTGTTTGGACTGCTGTTTCCCCTCGCCTCAAACTGGAATACTTTTATATTTCTCAAACTTTTATATTTCCTGCAAGGTCCATCTTTGATCACTTCCTGATTCTTTTTATGTTAGGGCTTTATTTTTAATTTCTATAGTATTTTGTATCTTAATTATAGCACTTGAAGCATCTTGTCTTCTGTATGTGTCTTATTTTGAAATGAGGGTCTAATGTGGTGCATTCTGTGTAGGGGACTCTAAAATATTTTTGTCATACTGAAGGAATCCTTCTTGTACTATCCTAACTAAAACATTATTATTAGTTATAATTTGGGGTTGATGAATTTAAAAATAAGTCCCGAAGAAAATTTGCACTGCTAAATGACTAGGATATATTTGCTTATTGCTTTAGGATGTTCAATTTTAAGCCAAAACAGGAAAGTTAGATTTGTGAAGTTTACTTCTGACCTCTGAAATAATCTTAATATCTAGAGCATCTGTTTGAAGAAATAAGCACTAAGTTGGTTGTCTTTTCTTCATTTCTCTTGAAAGGAGTCCAAAACTACCTACCTGGAGGACCTTCCACCACTCCCTGAGTATGAATTGGCCCCATCCAAGTTAGGAGAGGAGGTGGATGATGTTTATCTCATTCGAGCTCAAGGATTGCCTTGGTCATGTACTGTGGAAGATGTGCTTAACTTTTTCTCAGGTAAATCTTATTGTATTTTAAATATGTAATTTTGTCTGAGTAAAGGGTTGATCTACAGAATCCCAAGTGTAGCTATGGTGGAGACAGTGTCTTTGATGATAGGAAATTGTTCTGGCTGGTTTTACRTTCAATACCAAGTGACATCATGATACTGTTTGTGGTATGTATCATATTTAATGATTGACTGCAACAAAAATAATATTAAAATGACATGATATGAAGCCAGTTTTCTTTTAAGTTTTACTATGTACATAACAAAAAGCCAAACCTATTAGTGGAAATGTGGGATTGAAAGTAGTTGTTTATGTAGTAAATGAACTTAAATGCAAGATTACTTGCATAAAGTTCCTTTAATAACATATTTCAAGGTTTACTAGTCCTTAGTTTTTTAGTTTCTATATCTGACTGTAGTTTTTAATTTTCCTTTCAAGAGGCTTTTAGGGGGCTGGGGTTGTGGTTCAGTGGTAGAGTACTTGCCTGGCATGTGTGCAACACTGGGTTCGATCCTCAGCACCACATAAAAAACAAAAATAAAAATAAAACAAAGGTATGGTGTACATCTACAACTAAAAAAAGAAAAAATTTTAAAAAAGGGCTTTTAGTAGATGTCACTTTCAAGTGTGGTAAAAGGATGTAACTGAAGGGCTGGGGTTGTAACTCAGTGACAGAGCACTTGCCTAGCATGTGAGAGGCACTGGGTTCGATCTTCAGCACCACATATAAATAAATAAAAACTAAAGGTACATCAACAACTAAAAAATCTTAAAAAAAAAAAAAAAGATGTGACTTAATGTACTAATGTTCATACTATTGTGTGAGTCACGAATTTTATAAAGCCAATTGCCACTTACATCTTTGACTTGCATTGTAGGAAATGTGTACTATGGGGATACCTTTCTTATAATGGAAAATGGGGAAGTTAAATTATCATAGCAGAATTATTTTTATAGGAGATATTTTATTCATAGGAATTAAACCTATTATTTTAATTCCTTAAGTGATTTGAAACCGGTTATATAAACTTTGGAATGGACATAATGCATTTTGAGTTGCACCCAGCCTGACCTGACATTTAATGGTCAGAAGATCTTAAGCTTCTGAGCCAAGGTTTACTTATCTTTTCTGCTTGGAACATTTTAGACACCGCTACCTCATTAGTGTTTGGATGACTTCAGTGATGGGGATTTGTGTAAAGAATGTGACAGGCATTTTGGTTCCTCCTTTGTTGTAGGAAAATTGCATTCTAATGACTTGTATAATTGAGCTTGATGTTTGATTTCTGTTTTTAATTGACTTTATTCATATACTTTTAGACTGCAGAATCCGCAATAGTGAGAATGGAATACATTTCCTTTTAAATAGAGATGGGAAACGAAGGGGTGATGCCTTAATTGAAATGGAGTCAGAGCAGGATGTGCAGAAAGCCTTAGAAAAGCACCGCATGTACATGGGTCAGCGATATGTGGAAGGTATGTTCCTTAGATTCTGGCTTTTTATGATCTTGCATTAGATTTTAAATTTTGCAAGACTCGTTAACAATAGTGAAATAGTTAAATATTATGAATGCATTATTTTACAACTTGTAAAAATGAAGCTTAGAGAGATCATCAGAATTTTTTATAGATTGAAAGTGTTGACCAAGTTTATCTTAAAGTTGTGAGAGTTAAATAGGTTATGATTGGCACATAATAAATGTTCAATAAATGTTATTTTCTTCAGAGATGTGCAAAAAGATTAAAACCRTTGGTGTTTTAATTCTTGGATAATCTACCAAGTGTTAGTGTATTTGATTTCTTTTTTAAAAAGTAGTGTCTTTCTGGGGCTGAGGTTGTGGCTCAGCCGTAGAGTACTCACCTAGAACGTGTGAAGACCTGGGTTCGATCCTCAGCACCACATAAAAATAAATAAATAAAGGTTAAAAAAAGTGGTGTCCTTTGTTATGTAAATTTTACATCCATTTTGTGCTTTTTCTTTGTAGTATATGAGATAAATAATGAAGATGTGGATGCCTTAATGAAAAGCCTACAGGTCAAGTCGTCACCTGTGGTGAATGATGGTGTAGTTCGATTAAGAGGACTTCCTTATAGTTGCAATGAGAAAGATATCGTGGACTTCTTTGCAGGTGCTTTGTAGTCATATTATGTTTGGGTCCTTATTTCTTTTCTCCCCCCACACCCCGTCCCCTTGCCTTGTTGTTCTATATCTTAGATGTGTTTTGATGTAATAGGCAGATCTTTGGGGGATGTCACTTTTCAGAATTTCATGAGAGTTTGTCTTACAATAGAAGAAAATATCTGCTCAAAATAGTGGCCGTATTTGTCTAATACAATAACCATTTATATGATTTCAAAGTTTTATCTAATTTCTAGCTATAAAATATGTGCCATTAGTAGTAATGTTAGTCTAAATCTCTGTTGTCTCTTCAAATATAATTAATGACAAAAAAGTTAAAAAAAATTGAGGGAACGGTGTGTTTATGATAGATTACTTGGACCTGAGCGTGGTCTTGCACACCTATAATCCCAGGTATTCTGAAGGCTGAAGAAGGAGGATCTCAAATTTAAGGTTAGCCTAGACAACTTAGCGAGATCCTGTCTCAAAAAAAAAAAAAAAAGGCAGGGTGTAGCTCAGTAGCAGGGTGGGTTTGGGTGTAGCTCAGTAGTAGAGTACCTCTTGGTTCAATTCCTAGTATTGAAAAAAGATTGGTTAGTTGGACCATCAACATTCTGAAAATATAAATACATATTTATTAATAACTTCTGGCTGCATAAAAACTTCTACTCATTAAGCATGTATCCAGCTTTGGGATTGGCAAAACCACATACAAGTTTTATTAGTGCATTTGTTAACTATAAAGATTATAAAAAGTTCCTGGTAGCAACACTAATTTGGAATAATTTTTTGTATCCTAGGACTGAATATAGTGGACATTACTTTTGTAATGGACTATAGAGGGAGAAGAAAAACAGGGGAAGCATATGTGCAGTTTGAAGAACCAGAAATGGCCAACCAAGCCTTGTTGAAACACAGGGAAGAAATTGGTAACCGGTGAGTGAGACAGATACTAGTGATGCAGCAGCATCACACTTCAAGTCATTTTGATGAATGTGTTCTAATTTGACTGAAAGTTTTCAGACACAGAAATGTAGAATAGTATGAAGAGCCACCAGACATCCATTGCTTGGATTAACAAATTATTGACATTTGTTATGTTTATTTCATCTGTTTATTTTCAGTATTTGTCTTTTAATAAAGGTATTTTCTTACATAATCACAACAAAAAGAAAATACCTTTTTTAAAAGACAAATACTGAAAATAAACAGATGAAATAAACATAACAAATGTCAATAATTTGTTAATCCAAAATGAATAATAATTTATTATCCAGTAATAACCCACAATCTTTTCACAGTTAAACCCCAAATACTTTTTTGTAGTTCGTTTGTTTGAGCCAGAATCCAGACAAATCCACACCTTGCTTTTAATATGACACTGATTCTCTTAAAATAGAGCAAATTCCCTTCTTTATTTTTTATTCTTTTTCCCTTTTAAAAATGCAGTTGACTTTTGAAGAAATTGGGTCAGGCAGTGTCTCCTGTTTATATCACATCAGGATGCATGTAATGATGTAGGTGATTTGTGCTTAGCTTCAATTTTGGAGGCATAGGAAATTGTCAAATTTTAAATCTCTGTTTTTTTTTTTTTTTTTTTTTTTTTTTTTTTTAGAGAGAGTGAGAGAGGAGAGAGAGAGAGAGAGAGAGAATTTTTTTTTTTTTAATATTTATTTTTCAGTTCTCGGCGGACACAACATCTTTGTTGGTATGTGGTGCTGAGGAGGATCGAACCCGGGTCGCACGCATGCCAGGCGAGCGCGCTACCACTTGAGCCACATCCCCAGCCCTTAAATCTCTGTTTTGCTGCTTTCTGGCCTTTTTATTTAGCTCCTTCGAAGCTTTTTTTTTTTTTTTTTTTAATAGCGCCACTCCAAAAGCTGACTATTTCAGAATCTACTTATAGAATGGGTTCATAGGTCTTTTTAAAAAAGTGGTTCTTGAGTTGGGCACAGTGACACACCTGTAATCCAAGCTACTTGGGATGCTATAATAGGAGGATGCGAGTTTGAGGCTAGCATGGGCAATATAGCAAGACTCTGTTTCAAAAAAATGTTTTATTTAATTATTATTTTTTCTTCCTTTTAGGTTCTGGGAATCAAACCCAGGGCCTCATTTATGCTAGGCAAAGTGCTCGACCACTGAGCTACACACCTAGTCCCTCATTTAATTGTTTTAGGTCTGTAAATACAAATAATTTTTTTAAAAAATTATTTATTTATTTTTTTCTGGTCATATGAGAAAATAGCTTGAGAGTTAAACTCATGCAATTTCCCTACTTCCCCACACACAAAAACATGAGGCACAAGTAAAATTATAAAGTTTCTAGTATTAATACTAAAAATGAAAAAGAGTTGGAGGGTGCCAGATCTTTAGATCTGCCACGATCTCTTGACTCTAGAGTATAAGCAATTAAAGGAGAACTTATTTGCATTTTGCCTTGAGCCTAATGGCAGGATTATGATGTCTGATTTTTGTTTTTTGTGGGGTACTATGAGAATATTAGCACAAATAATAGGCATTTATGCCTATAATTCAATACAGCCTACCAAGAGAGTCAACTTTAAATTTAAATGAAGAAAAATTAAATCATTATCTATAGGACACCAGCTATTTTCCATATGATTTCTGTGGAACTTGTGACTGACTCTTGGCGTCCAAGCTATAGTGAGTGGGTTGTTTTTTTTTGTCACTACATAATAAGTCATTCTAAAACTTATTAGCTCACTCAATCCTTGAGCCACATCACCAGCCCTATTTCTTATTTTATTTAAATAAAGAGTCTTACTGAGTTGCTTAGAACCTTACCCTTGCTGAAGCTGGCATTGGATTTATGATCCTCCTGCCTCAGCCTCCCAACACACTGGGATTACAGGAGTGCACCACTGCACTTGGCTCTGTTCACTTTTTTAAAAATTTATTTATTTTTATTAGCTACACATGACATTACAATGATCTTGGCAATTTATACATTTGAATCAATTGGGGCATAATTTCTCATTTTTCTGACTGTACAGATTGCAGAATCACACTGGTCATAGAGTCACCTATATACGTACAGCAATCATAAAGTCTATTCTATTCTGCTGCCCTTCCTATCCCCCCCTTCCCCTCCCCTCCCCTGCCATCACTTCTCTCTATCCAATCTAATGTGACACACTTTTTTTTTTTCTTTTTCTCCTCACAACATCATACATGTATTCTGTATAACGATGAGGGTCTCCTTCCGTCTTCTGTGCAACTCCCCTTCTTCCTCCTTTTCCCTCCCACCTCTCTTCCCTATTTAGTGGTAATAATACAAATAATTTTTACAGCTCCTGTTTAATAAGCTAGTTTGGAGTAACAGTGTTGAGGGAAAAAAAGCTTGGATTTAATTTAGTCCCACTGTCACTATAATGGCAAGTCAGAATTCTTAGGTTCTCATTTACCTCCTAGGGAAATTCTAGAAAAGGTAGCTTTTCTTATCCTGTGACTCTTTTGTTTGAACTTGGGTACTTTACCACTGAGCTTTCTTACCAGTGATGGACTATAGAGGGAATTTTTTATTTTTTATTTTGAGACAGAGCCTTGCTAAATTGCTGTGGGTTTCCCTTGGTCTGTGAAGCTGGCCTTGAACTTGTGATCCTCCTACCTCAGCCCCCTGAGTTGCTGGGATTATAGGTGTGTGCTACTGCACTTGGCTACACTGGGACCATCTTTTACAAATGTGACTAATTTTCAAAGAATTCAATTGCAGGGCTTCGACAGGTTGATAAGCAACTATGGAAAGAAGACCAAAAAAACCTTTGTTTTGGTTTGCTTTTCATTACTGTAATGAAATACTGATGCAGGCTAACTTTATAACAATAAGAGGTTTATTTAGCCCATAGTTTTAGATGCTGAAAGACCACACAGTGTGGTGCATTGACAAGGTCCCCCCTGCTGTGAATGGTATGAGTGCTTACCTGTGGGAAGAAGAAATCACATCTCACAAGAAGTCAGAGTGATTTCAGGGGTAGACTCAGGCTTTTATAACAACTTACTTTTCTGAGAATTAACTTCAGGATTCCCTTCTTAGAGCAGTACCCCCAAATGACTAAAAGACCATCTTAAAGTTTCACAGCATCCCCCAGTATTGTCACTCCAGTTACGAAGCTCCTAACCAAGAAATTGGGGGGGGGGGGGGGACATCTAAGCCACAGCAACCTTGTAAAGATTCTTTTTTAAAAAAAAAAAATCTATAAATCTGTCAGACCTTTTGCATTCCAAAAAAAAAGTTTTAGTTTCTGTACCCACAATTACAACGAGGATAGTTATTCTTATAAAGCAAAACAGTAAAAAATATTGTTAAAATGTATATGAAAATATATTTTGGGGCAAAAATTTTGAGGCAAAATGATTAAATTATTGATCTATTCTGTTCAGAGTATTGTTTCCATGGGTTAATATCTGCAGTCACTGTTAAATTTTCCCTTTCCTGTTCTTTTTTGGATACATGTATTTTATAAGCTATTGGAAATATCTTAAAACCTATTTTATTTATTTATTTTTTTAGTATTATGTTTTAGTTGTAGTTGGACACAATRCTTTCATTTTGTTTTTATGTGGTGCTTAGGATGGAATCCAGCGTCCCACACGTGCTAGGCGAGGGCTCTACTGCTGAGCCACAACCCCAACCCCTTAAAACCTATTTTAAATGGGTTCAATGTACAGTTATTTTGCATCATTTGTGACTATTCGTTTTTGTTTTGACCTAGGTATATAGAGATATTTCCAAGCAGAAGGAATGAAGTTCGAACCCATGTTGGCTCTCATAAGGGAAAGAAAATGGCATCTTCTCCTACTGCTAAGTATATAACTGAGCCAGAAATGGTCTTTGAAGAACATGAAGTAAATGAAGACATTCGACCCATGACAGGTTTTGAAAATGAGAAGGAGATAGGTAAGGTCCTATCTCCTTTTGAGACTCATTGGGTCTATCTTGTATGTTTTGGTTTTTGTTAAACTATTTTTCTTAATAATCATATTGTATTGTGAGATTGCAGGACAAGGAAATTGAGTTAAAGATTTAATGTCTCTGTAGTATGTATTTTGAATATATACTAAAGGGCTTAATTATTTGGTTATGTTTCTAACTTAATTTTGTAGTCTATTAAAAGCTGGACACTAAAAATGTAATGAAAGGAAGTAAAATGTCAGCATTTAAACTAAGATAGGGAAAGATAGTTGTACAGAGCAGGGATATTAAGGATTTTGTTTGCCTCTGGATTTAATAATTTCTTTGATTCCTAACCTTGAAGCAACATTGGAGTCTTTGAAATTTGTTAAGTATTTTCCAGTTGGCGCTTTGAAGTTATCTTGTCACTATATTTTTCTATCTTCCTTTCCTTTACTCCTGGAACCCAGAAAGTTTCTCTTCCTTTAGAGTTTAGTTTATGACCGGTTTACCTTCGTTCTGTTGTAACAGAAAATTAAGTTCTTAATTTAGTAGTGGATTCAAGTATTAGATACTTATGGGTATTCAGGTGATATTTGTTAAATAGCAGAAATTGAGATTATTTTGGCTTTTAAAGCCCTTCCTTACTGGTTCAAGATGATTTGAAGATTTTGATATAAAGGTCATATCTAATTATAATCTGTTAATAGCTCTTGATGCTTTATGTCCTTGATGGTGTTTTTTGTTTCTCCTTCAGAATTGCCTAAGGAGATGTCAGAAAAGCTTCCAGAAGCTGTTGATTTTGGAACTACGCCTTCATTGCATTTTGTCCACATGAGAGGATTACCTTTTCAAGCTAATGCCCAAGACATTATAAATGTGTGTGCCATTAAGATATCCATTCTCAATAGGTTTGAACTGAAGTTCTAAAATTGAACTTGTATTAGTTTGTGGAAGGTGCAGAAGAAAATGCTGTATTTCTCTTGTTGTAAAGGTTGTTTAATTTTTTGTAGCTGAAAAGTGTAGGATATCTGGGTATGGTTGTCTGTGCCTATAGTCCCAACTACTTCAAGGATAAGGCAGGAGGATTGCTTGAATCCAGGAGTTTGAGGCCAACTTGTGGATTGTAGGTGGACTGGTTCTCTTAAAAAAAGGGTGGGGGCTGGGGCCAGGGCTGGGGTTGTGGTTCAGCGGTAGGGCACTTGCTTAAGCATGTGCAAGGCCCTGGGTTTGATCCTCACCATCACATAAAAATAAATAAAGGCATTGTGTCCAACTAAAAAATATATATATTAAAAAAAAGGGGGTGGGGTGTGGCTGGGGTTGCAGCTCCGTGATAGGGGTGCTTGCTTAGCATGTGTGAGGTACTGGGTTTGATTCTCACCACTACATATAAATAAGAACAAAGTAAAGGTTCATCCACAACTTAAAAGGGTGGGGGTGGCTTTTTATTACACTTGTGAAAATCAGGTGAGGATTTTATAAATGCACAGCAAAATGGTATAGATTTATTAATAAAGTAGGAAAATTTGGTTTTAGAATAAATGACTTCAACTTATCTTTCACTTTGGGAAAATGACACTAAAGCATATGATTACAGAGGTTTTTTTATTTTTTTACAGAACAGTTATATACAGATATTTCGGTGTTCCATTATAAATTAAAAATATCATAATTTGAAAATACATTTAATATACCTAATCGGCTAAACATCATAGCAACACAGTATACTGTAGGGTGTTGGTGGTTTATCTTTGTGATCTTGTGGTTGACTGGGAGATGTTTGTTGCCACTACTGAGCATCTCAGCAGAGTACCTTACTTTGTATTGCTAGCCAGGGAAAAATTAAAAATTTTTTAATTTTTAATTTTTTAATTTTTTATGGTTTCTACTTAATTTGGATTGCTTTTGCACAATTGTGAAGTTGAAAAATCATAACTGGAACCATCTAACCATTACAAATTCAGGGCACATCTGTACTAGACAAAAATCTAGGCTTGAGTTTTTATGAGATACCATGTAGCCTTCATGAAATGGGATTCCCTAATATTTGAGAAAGTAAATTTAAAATACATTTTTTATTTAGTAATAGATACTATGTGAAATAAAACATAAAACTACAAAGCTCTCAACTTTATGATTTTGAGAACATGTATGAAAGATAGATCCAAACGTAGAGTCTTTGGTTACTAGTGAAGCCTCAGAGTTGTCATTATTTCAAAAAACATACTAAGAGCTAGGTATGGTAACATATGTCTGTAGTCCTAGTGACTTGGAAGTCTGAGGCAGGAGGATCACAAGTTCAAGGCCAGTGTCAGTTGTTTAGTGTTTAGCGAGGTCCTAAGCCAATTAGTTAGAACTTGACTCAAAAAATGAAGGACTCAAGTTGTAGCTTAGTGATAAAAGACCCCTGGGTTCAGTCTCCAGTACAAAAAAAAAAAAAAAAAAGGCGCATATTAGGAATTATATCTTTACCCAATTGAAGTTTGCAAGTTTTCATTGAAACTTGTTTTTGCGGGCTGGAGTTGTGGCTCAGTGGTAGAGCACTTGCCTAGCATATGTGAGGCCCTGGGTTCGATCCTCAGCACCACATAACAATAAATAAGGATATTGTGTTCATCTACAACTAAAAAATATTAAAAAAAAAAAAAAGGAAGAAACGTGTTGTTGCTTTGGTTTGGAATGATAATCATTTAGTGTGGCAGCCCAGTTTGTGTATTTCTGAAAACTGATAGCTACGTATCTGATTAAATGTATTACTAAGGAATAAAGTATATTTGATAGATATTCTTTAGAAACAGATGTGTGTGGGAGAAATGAAAAAGTGTGTGAGAACCATTTGTATAAGGATCTGTAGTTTGAGGTTCTTTGATAACAGATATTTGAAATGTAATCTTGAGTCTGAGAAAACTCAGACCAGAAGAGATGGTAGATTTGTAACTATCTTATTGCTTAATGAATTTTCTAAAAACCACTGTGTCAGGTGTATGAATCAATGACTGAAAGCAAAAGCAGAGCCACCACTACCTGGGCTGGGGATGTGGCTCAGGGGTAGATTGCTTGCCTGACACACATGAGGCCCTGTGTTTGATCTCTAGTGCTGCAAGAAAAAAAAAAGTAGAGCCACCAGACATCTAAAGCTTGGTTCTAGTTCAGTTATATTCTTTTTGTTTGCCTCCGTTTAGTTTTTTGCTCCCCTGAAGCCTGTGAGAATCACCATGGAATACAGTTCCAGTGGAAAGGCTACTGGAGAAGCTGATGTGCACTTCGATACTCATGAGGATGCTGTTGCAGCTATGCTCAAGGATAGGTCCCATGTTCGTAAGTATTGCTCATGGTTTTCCTTGTATTCAGTGCTTACCTTTGCTTACAAATATCCTTCCTTATTTAGGGATTGGTCTAGAATTTTTCCTAAGGAAAATAAAGGTAAAATATAAAACACTGTATTATAAGAAAAACATTTAGTTGACTGCCAGTTTCCTTATATTTCTATCCAGAGTTGGGGTTTTGTTTTAATTTTGCTTTTGCCTACTTGTTTTTGATTTTTTAAATGTTTTTATTTTAAATTTGGGTGGCAATGGGGTCTTGCTAGTCTCAACTTTAAGGGGTTCAAGTGATCTTCCTGCCTCAGCCTCCTGGTAGCTAAGACCATAGGTGTTTGCCATCCTCTCTAGCCTCATTTTTAAAAAATATTTAATTGTTGGGCTGGAGATGTGGCTCAGCGGTAGCGCGCTCGCCTGGCATGCTTGCGGCCCGGGTTCGATCCTCAGCACCACATACCAACAAAGATGTTGTGTCCGCCGAGAACTAAAAAATAAATATTAAAAAATTCTCTCTCTCTCTCTCTCTCTCTCCTCTCTCACTCTCTCTTTAAAAAAAAAAAAAAAATTGTTGATGGACCTTTATTTATTTCTCTATATGTGGTGTTGAGAATCAAACCCAGGGCCTCCTACATGCAAGCACTTTACCACTGAGCCACAACTCCAGCCCTCGTTCCCCCCCCCCAATAAAGAAAAATGTTTGAATATCATCTAAACTATGAGAAAAATGGCTGCAGTATTTTTTCTGCCTTTTCAGGTTTTAAAAACTAATATTTTTCTATTGTTTTCAGAGCATAGGTATATTGAACTGTTCCTGAATTCATGTCCAAAAGGAAAATAAGACTTCCAGGGACTCCAGATAGTAAGGTAATTTATTTTTTTTTTTTTCCTACCGTGTATGCATTGAATCCAGGGCCTTGCATTTGCTGAGCTAGTGCCCTGTTGAGCTATATTCCCAGCCCAAGTAAAGTAAATTTAAGAGGTCCAATTATGGAAATTATTTTCAAATAGATGAATAATCATTAACTCACTAATTTGTAATATGGTAGAAACCATTCTCTTTTTAATAAAGATCAAGCTCTAGTGATAGTTAAAGTAACACTATAAAGAATAAAAGTTCATTTTGATTGTATAGTGCTTTCAAGCATTATCCATGCATAAAATTTTTTTCATAATTCCCAACATTTATCATGCTGTGCCCCTCCATAAATTGTATAGCTATCTTTTGTAGCTGTAAATTATAATATATGGAAAGTTTCCCTTGCATTAGCTTTTCTTCCCACTAAAATGTAAACACATTTCTTCAGTTGTGAGATATTTTTACAATATATAAAAGGTGTTATATATGAAATCAGGGTGTGTCATTCATATGCAGTTAATTTGTCATTACTTCCTTTTTCTTTTGAAAATGATTTTTTGTCTTAGGAAGAACATAGTTTCATAATGTTAACTTATCTATGACATATTTAATAAATATATATATTCTTCCCTCCCTCAGAACTGGGGATTGAACCCAGGGGTGCTGTACCACCAAGCTACATACTTTTTTTTGTGGTGCTGGGGATTGAACCCAGGGCCTTGTGCATGCAAGGCAAGCATTCTACCACTGAGCTATATCCCCAGCCCCTCTTAAAATGTTTTTTTGAGACAGTCTCCCTAAGTTGCCAAGATTGGCCTTGAACTTGGTGATACTCCTGCATTAGTTCCCTGAGTAGCTGGGATTATAGGTGTGTACCACTGCACCTGGCTGCTAAATATATCTCAGTGTCCTTTGACTAAATGTGTAATATCTTTTTTTCTCCATTAATTGTTTTCATATATTGTATTGCAATTATTTCCCCATATGTAGTAAAACACATTCTGTTACTATAGATGTTGTAGGTTATTTTTGGATATAAAGTTCCACAGTCCCAATTATTACCTTATTTCTATGTGCAATGTATTTTGTGCACAGTGCCAGAAATCATACAAGGCTAGGTACCTTAATGCCTTAATTTCCTTACTTTAAATTTTGTTTTGTTTTGTTTTTATGGTACTGATGATTGAACCTAGGGGTGCTTTATCACTGAGCTATCCCTAATACCTTTTATTTTTGAGATAAGGTCTCTCTAAGTTGCTAAGGCTGCCCTTGAACTTGTGATCCTCCTGCCTCCATCTTCTGAGATGTTGGGATTATAGGTATGCACCACCTGAAATGTTGGGATTATAGGTGTGTACCAACATGCCCGGCTCCTGACTTAAATTTTGTCAGATAACTTATACTGAGTCAGGAAGGAAAAAAAAAAATGAACTTGTACTTTTAAATGGTATGTAAACACAAGTAATTTTTTTTTTTTTTAACATTTTTAAACAGAAGTGCAGCCGGGTGCAGTGGTTCACACTTGTAATCCCAGCAGTTTGGGAGGCTGAGATAGAAGGATTGCAAGTTCAAATCCAGTCTCAGCAAAAAGAAGGTGCTAAGCAACTCAGTGAGACCCTGTCTCTAAATAAAATACAAAATAGGGGTAGGGATGTGGCTCAGTGGTCAAGTGCCCCTGAGTTTAATTCCTAGTACTGCCCCCTGCCGAAAAAAAAAAAAAGCAAAACAAAAGTGTAACATTTTTTTGTTTTATTTTCAGGATGAAGCAAGAAGCATTTCATTTGCACATCTTTCTTGGACATGGGCTATAAAGTTCCTGTTTATTGGCAGAAACTGCTAGAGAAAGGATTTTGGGTTTGGGGTTAATGCTTCTAAGAAAAATTCATAGTGAACAATTGAGAAGGAGAAAGATTCAATTTGGTATTATGAAATAAACCACAAATCTTAAATTTTTGTTTAAACTGTTCAGGATCTGATTAAGAAAATCTGATTAATTCTTTATTTTATATAATTAAGCAGTTTGTTTTTATAGAGGATATGTTACCCATTGTAAAGACTACATATTTTTATTCAGTACTATCTTTAAAAAATCTTTTTCTCATTTAAAAAATAATCTGTTCAAA